GATCGTTTCAGATGGTGAAGATGAAGATGATACTTTTAAAGATACTTCAAGCACAGATCCATTCAACACACCTCCCTTTCAGTTGTTATCTGTAAAACAGTTTGATGCTTCCACTCCCAAAAGTGACATCAGTCCGCCAGGAATGTTCTTTTCACTGAAAATGGCTGATAGTATAAATAAGTCTGTAACCTCTAGAAGATCCCTGGCTTCTAGGAGGTCTCTTGTTAATGTGGTTTTAGACCACGTGGAGGATATGGAGGAAAGACTTGACAACAGCAGTGAAGCAGAGGTTGCTGAAGATTACCTGGAGGAAGGAGCCGAGGAAAGCAGTGGTGAAGTCTCAGAGTGTACAGAAGACCCTCCTGGCAAAACGCTGCCTTCAGAAAATAAGTTAATGACACCTGAGCCTCATGCTTTGGCTCAAGAGACCTCTCCTGGCAACCCAGGACAGACCTCTTTGTCTGGCAGACAGTTGGTTGATTCTCCCCAGGATGAGGCAATGGAGGCTGTGAATGACTATGAGACCCTTGTAATTCGTGGAAAAGAACTGAAAGAGTGTGGGAAAATACAGGAGGCCTTAAACTGCTTCGTTAAAGCACTTGACATAAAAAGCGCCGATCCTGAAGTCATGCTCATGACTTTAAGTTTGTATAAGCAGCTTAATAAACCTTAAGACTATAACCTGTTTATTGTTAAAATGAGACACTGAGTATGAATTCGTTCCTGTAACTGGATTCTTTGGGAGCATGAAGCATTTAGGCTTAAGGTGAGAGATCTCAAAAAGCAAGGTGTTGGTTTTAACTATTTTGTAAATTCTGCATTTACTCCCTATTCCTTCCTGTCCCCCTCCCCTGTACATATATTCTGATATTCTGAACACTAGGTTAATATTTCTTTACTTGAATAGGCTTATATTTTTCTTTTAGGCATGCTCTATAAACTTTTTTTTTAGACAGCGAGTGAGGGCGTGAGTCCATGAGAGGGCAGAGGGAGAGAGAGAATCTTAAACAGGCTCCACGCTCAGTGTGGTGGCATGCTCTGTCAACTTAATAGAACTATGTGATTTCTAGAAATGTTTTTGTGAAATTATTCTTGCCAGTCTTCATTTCATTCTGGAAATGACCATTTCTGTATATCGCACTTCAGGTAAGAAAATAAAGTCACTTTTCTCAGTGTTTTCTTCTCCATTTGCTTTCTTTCACTGAGATGACACTGGCAAATGCATATGGAAGCACATTAGTTTAAGCAGGAGCTTATTGGAATTCTGAATCTGTGACCTGCTTATTAAAATGCTATTTTGTGTCCTCAGCTCACTCCAGCAGAAGGCTGGGATAAGGTACCTGGTGCCAGGCTTCTTTATCACTGGCTCCTGACCCCGGAGTCACTTTGTCAACAACTTAGCCATTCTTCACTCACCTCCCACTGCATTCTGATACAGGTCAGCATAGCGGATCTTTGGGTGGTAGACTGAAAAGGAGTTCAGTTGCTTCTCAGAAACAAAGTACAATACAGAACTCTGCACTTGAGAAGTGGAACTAGCTTTTATGAAGTACCTGCTCTGTATTGGGTATTCTGCATAGGTTCCTTGTTTAATCCTTACCATAATCCTTTGAGGTTGAGGGTGGCATTTACTTTATTTTAGTTGAGGAAACTAAGGCTCAATGAGGCTGTGATCTGCCCAAGATCACACAGTAGGGAGTGAAATGGAGTTTTTTAAACCATGTGTTACTTGGTGAAAAGTTACCATAATAAACTGTCTTTGCTTCACTGAATATACTGAGATGTTTTTACTGACAACACTTCTGACCCCAAATGTGCGGAGGTTTTCCACACCAGTCCTCCAGTTTTTGGCAGATATCCATGGAGTGTCCTACAATTCAAGTCAGTTCTGACACTACCTGGAGTTCCAGTCAGACTCCACAGGTTTAAGTGCTCACTCCCATAAAACTGCCCTCACTTTGGTTGACAATTGCTAGTATTGGGCCCCCATGTTATCCACACTTCTGTCCAAATTGGCTACAAATTGAGGATTCCTATGACTGCACCTTCAGGTTCAGTAATTAGAACAGCACACAGAACTCAAGAAAATATGAAATATATATAATTTAAATCTACATATTGTATATAAAACAATTTAAAAAACTACAGGTAGGGGCACCTAGGTGGCTCAGTTGGTTAAACGGCCCGGTGTGACTCTTGATCTTGGCTCAATTGTGATCTCACAGTTTGTGAGACTGAGCCCTGTGTCAGGCTCTGTGCTGACAGCATGGAGCCTGCTTGGGATTCTCTCTCAAAATAAATAAACTTAAAAAAAATAAAAGCAACTTAGAAGGGATCCATAGACTTGGGCAAACTGCCAAAGGACTCCATGGCACAGAACAGATTAAGACCCCCTGATCTAAGGGTATGAAATAGTCTCTTACCTGCCCTGCCCCCAGTTCTGGATTACCATTCCCAAGGACAGTATATATGTACAAGCACAAGTATATGTTTGTATATCTATGTTCTTACCCAAATGATAGTACGTTATATATGCTGTTCTGCACCAGTTTTTAATTTTAACACAGCTGTATGATATTTTATTGAATAGATACACCATCATTTATTGATGGATAGTCCGTTTATTTCCAACTGACACTGTGATGAATAATATCCTTGTACCTTTTACACATGTATTATATCTATGGGATAAATTCCTAGAAATGGAACTACGGGGTGCAAGGGTATATTTGTAATTTTTCTTTTTTTTTTCTTTTGGGAGAGAATCTTAAGCAGCCTCTGCACGGTCAGTGTGGGGCCCAATGCGGCACTCAAACTCAAACTGTGAAATCATGACCTGAGCTGAAATCAAGAGTCAGACGCTCAACCGACAGCCACCCAGGCGCCCCTGTATCTATAATATTGATAGGTATTGCCAAATTTTCTCGATAGAGGTTATAATAATGTACATTTCTACCATTAATGGATACCTGTTTCTTCATACCCTTACCAACAATATGTTAAATGTTTTGAACTTTGCCAATCTGATAGGTAAAAAGCAAGATCTCATTTTGGTTTTAATTTGCAGTTATTTTACTCTGAATGAAGTTGGTTCATTAAGCATTGAACTTAATGAAAAAGATGTAATTTCAAAGCAGAATTGAAGGCATGTGCTATAATATGTAGAAGTCGGTATAAATCCTTAGTTTTCTCATTTATCAACTCCTTTAGAACCTTAGTTGCCAGTTCAAAGTTAACTTCCCAAAGGGTCGCTTGGTGCCAGAGACCCATTCTTGCTCTGCTCTCTCAGAAGGTAGCTATCACTGCTTTCTCTTTCCATGCCACAAGTTAGTTTGCTTTTTATTTTTTATTTTTTTAATGTTTATTTTTGAGACAGCGTGAGCAGGGGAGGGGCAGAGAGAGAGGGAGACACAGAGTGCATAGCAGGCTCCAGGCTCTGAGCTGCCAGCACAGAGTCTGACGTGGGGCTCGAACTCAGATTGTGAGATCATGACCTGATCCGAAGTTAGACGCCTAACCGACTGAGCTACCCAGGCATCTCTAAGTTTGCTTTTCCTACTCCACCTTTCCAGCACGTTTTACTTTGTGGGTGACACCCTGCAAAAGGCATTCAGTCAGTATCCTGGGTAAGCCAATGTCCTGAGCAAAGGATGCTAACTAGGTAGTGTCTCATGCATATAAAGCTTTTCAGAATTTTCTTCAAGATTTTCCAAATTTATAGCCCTTATTTAGACACATTGTTTTGAGTGGGGTTTTTAGAAGTTTCATCTTAGGCCTACTATTTCGAACATCTCTCAATACATACTGGTATATCTATGTATCTGAGGGAATGGGGCATCCGTTAGTCTGCTCAGTGGGGAAAATCTCCTGGAGGACTAACCTGCTGAGGATGCCCAGAAACTACTCTAAAATAAGAAACTTCTATGTCAAATGCAGCTGAGCAAGAACACAGTGTGTTAAAAGAATCACTGTTAAGAATCATGTGGTTATGTTGGCAAAGTTTTATTTTTGAAGCAGTACAGTATTTATAATTCTTTATACATTTTTGTATGTTATAAATATGGGAATGTGAAATAAAAAATGCAGATACACAAAACATTGGCTGCTTAGTCTAGTACAAACAACTGGTAGAAGAACTGAGTGCCTTTTTGCCTGCAATAAATGTTTATTTAAAAAGGAGAGTTCACAAAAAGAAGAGTTCATGTTGAATGGCCTTTATGTACAGCATATTATATTAAGACACTGGAGCTAATAACTGTCCTGGCAGATCAAAGTTGGCTAACTTACAAAACAAGTGTTGCCTATTGCTTATTTTAGGATTTTCATATGCTAATCCATCTATTTGATGTCCAACTCAATGTGTGAATAGTGTGAACTAGGTATTTGGCTCCCCTAGAGATGATTTTTAAATTAACTTACGGGGTATACTGAGAATCACAGACAGTAGTTCTGAGGGAAAAGAGACTTAAGGTTAAAAGGAGTCTGCTTGACTTCTCTTTTTTTTTTTTAATTACATAAACTTTACACCCAATGTGGGGCTCAAACTCACAATCCCAAGATCAAGAGTTGCATGCTCTACCGACTGAGCCAGCTGGGTGCCCTTACTTGACTTATCTTTGAGAACAGCTGACTGAATACCCACTATAGTGTGCACACTAACTTTTCCCCACCTCATTTTGTGCCTACAAACCCACAATGACAGAGTTCATAAAATACAAGGATTACTCAACACCTTTTAAAGAAATAAACAGGGGCACCTAGGTGGCTCAGTCGGTTGGGTGTCCGACTTCAGCTCAGGTCAAGATCTCACAGCTCATGAGTTCGAGCCCCACGTCAGGCTCTGTGCCAACAACTCAGAGTCTGGAGCCCGCTTCAGATTCTGTGTCTCCCTCTCTCTCTGCCCCTCCCCTGCTCATGCTCTGTCTCTCTCTGTCTCAGAAGTAAATAAAAACATCAAATTTTTTTTTAAAAAAAGAAATAAACAGAATTGTATAAAACACTGTCAGTTTTCCATACAATTTTATTTTCTCCCTTCAACCATAATAATATGATATCCAAATTTTGTCTTAACTGGAGGGTCTGTAAACACAGGCTTATCCAGCCCACTTATGGGCAAGGCAAATGCTGCTTCTTGAAATGGTCCCACCATGGTACCTCTGGTCATCCAACCCAAGTCACCCTGAAAAACCCAAAAGATATGTGACGTCAGGTGGCCCTCCAGAGGAAACAGTTCTACAGTAGCTTGAGAATTTCCCAACACAAATGCTAAGGTTCCTAGTTTTATTTGCCTGGGCTGTAAAGAAGTGGGCTTGACAAGGACAAATGGGTGAAAGAGATCCAACCCTGGACTGAACATATAAGCACTCACAATGCTTCCAGGTGTCTCAGCTGTGCAAGTTTGGCCGTGCCTAGTCTTAGACAACAGGTGCCCTGTACGCAACTGTACATTTCTGCTTTTAAGATCTTTAAACCAAGATATGGCTAAAATTAAAGGCAGAACATAGAAATAACCCCTACCACTGTGTGTCCTCCATGGGGGATAAATGAAAACAACACCATACCCCTTGCCTGGCTTTATCTTCACTATACTGTATGGCCACTTCATTGAATCTCATTCCAGACTTCAACTTTTCCATGGCTTCCATGATTTTCCCATGTTTTTCACACAGAATGTGTCTGACCTACAAGGAAAAAGTATGGTCACATAATTTGAGAGACACTATTCCTTTTCTCACAGTACAGCAGTCATGCTGTATTACCCCCAGTAGTGAAAAAATAGATCAGGTTACGGCAACAAAACCCTGAAGTCTGCTCAGTTGGGCAATGGCCACAAGCTCGTTTCCCACTATCTCAGAACTCTGATTTTTTTTTAAATTAACTTAAAAATTTTTTTTACTAAAAAAATTTTTCAGTGTTTATATTTGAGAGAGCAAGTGAGCGCATGTAGGGGAGGGGCAGAGAGAGGGAGACACAGAATCTGAAGCAGGCTCCAGGCTCCGAGCTGTCAGCACAGGGCCCGACACGGGGCTTGAACTCACAAACTGTGAGATCATGACCTGAGGAGAAATCGGATGCTTAACTGACTGAGCTCAGGCACCCCTCAGAAATCTGATTTAGATGGAAAATGGGCACCTGGCTGTGGGAAGCTACCATCTTAACCATGTACTTCAATGGTAACAGGAAGAGAAAACAGAATGGTTGAAAGCTTAGGCCCTTGAGTCAAATCCCACCTCTGCTGTACAATTGCAGGCATTTTCTTTTTCTTTTTAAAAAATTTTTAACATTTATTTATTTTTGAGAGACAGAGCACAAGTGGGGGAGGGGCAGAAAGAGAGGGAGACACAGAATCCAAAGCAGGTTCTAGGTTCTAGGCCATCAGCACAGAGCCTAATGTGGGGCTTGAACCCACAAACTGAGATCATGACCTGAGCGGAAGTTAGACACTTAACTGACTGAACCACCCAGGTGCCCCAATTGTAGGCATTTTCTTAAACCTCTAAGTGTTTCCCCCTTTGTGCACTGAGATAATAATAGTACTTATGGGGCGCCTGGGTGGCGCAGTCAGTTAAGCGTCCGACTTCAGCCAGGTCACGATCTCGCGGTCCGTGAGTTCGAGCCCCGCGTCGGGCTCTGGGCTGATGGCTCAGAGCCTGGAGCCTGTTTCCGATTCTGTGTCTCCCTCTCTCTCTGCCCCTCCCCCTTTCATGCTCTGTCTCTCTCTGTCCCAAAAATAAATAAACGTTGAAAAAAAAAATAATAATAATAGTACTTATGTGTTCTCATAGGGTTGTGAAGACTGAGGTGATGCAGTCAGTATTCAATAAAGGTTAGCTGTTATTTCATCAGAGTGGGGATGATATTTAAAAACCCACTAGGAAATATTTTTTATGAGAAAAGGCCCAAGGTATAAAGCCTCCTCACAATTCAACACTTTGAAAAAGTATTGTATGTTGATTAAGAATACTCAATCCTATAGAAGTATTCAAGTTTGACCTATGTTTACATAAAGCCATGTGTTTTTATTAAAATCACTCTATCTTGAAAACTGGTTTTGTCAGGGTAGGCATTTTGCCGGATTTCCAATTTCTCAAACACAATCCATTGTTTCATATTGTAAGTGATACACTGGGATGGGGGCTAAAGGTGTCTCCTTTATAAATGGAGACAAGCAAATCAAGGTTGTCTTCAGGGTTCAACTATTGCAATTGGGGGCAAAGGGATTCTAGGCCCACAGGAATAACTTCCCGATGGAAGAGCTACACAGGAGATAGGAACATAGATAGCAAAGGAAAGAATGTGTCAAAAAGCAGGGCTCAGAGAGGCAAACTTATATAGAATGTACAGGATGTACAGAATGTACTGTCCCGGGCAGACAGGAACAATCTGGACACTAGAGATACGTGTTGGGAAACAAGGACAGTTCATCAAGACCTCAAGTTGGCCTGGCCAAAACAGCTCCTAGAATGCCCCCCTCTTTATGCTTCTACACTCACAAAGCAACCTTCTGGTACAATTACTGGGAACTGAATTACAGCATTCATGATCACAGAAAGGGGAGACCACCCAGCACTTTATACATGAATAAACAAGTATTTTGGTCTGGACAGTCTGACAGGTTACACATAATGCGTCTGTAGTACCTGTGGGGTTTGCAATGTGACCAACTGGCAACTGTGTAAGACTGGCATCTTAGAAGACAGCCAACCCTGGGGCGCCTGGGTAGCTCAGTTGGTTGAGTGTCCGACTCCTGATTTTGGCTCAGGTCATGATCTCGCTGTTTGTGGGTTTGAGCCCCGCATCAGGCTCTGCACTGACAGTGCAGAGCCTGCTTGGGATTTTCTCTCTGCCTTTCCTGTGCATTCTCACTCTCTCTCTAAATAAATGAAAAAACTTAAAAAAACCAGAGAGCCAACCCACAGAGAATTTGGGAGTGATCAGCACAGAGGTAGCAGCTGACACTATGGGAGGTGATGAGATTGCCCAGGGAGGTTACGTAGAATGAGAATAGGAGAAATGTAGGTTAAAGACATCCTTGGAGAACACTGATGTTTAAGCAATAAGCAAGGAAAAAGCTCAATAACCATAATACAAAAAGAAAGGCCAGAAAGGTAGGAAAGGTGTGTTAATAGAAACCAAGCCAAAAGAAAGTTTCAAGGAGGAAATGATCAACAGGCTTAAATGCGGCAATGATCAGGTAAAAAGTACAACCAATTTAGTAATGAGTGATTGATGACCTTAGCAAAAGCAGTTTCAGAAGAGTAGAAACTGCAGAAGCCAGAGAGTAGAGGGCAGACAGAGGGAGAGATAGGAGGCAGGAAGGAAATCCGTGTGGGGTACTCCCCCAGCTGAGGTAGAAAAAGAGAAAGGGCTCTTATCAGAAGAAAATGGGCACAGACATGTATGTATGTTATTTTTATTTTTTATTGTTTTTTATATTTTATTTGCTTTAAAAAAATTTTTTTTAAATGTTTAGTTTTGAGAGAGAGAGAGGGAGAGAGACAGCACAACTGGGGGAGGGGCAAAGAGAGAGGGAGACACAGAACCCAAAGCAGGCTCCAGCACAGAGCCCGACGCAGGGCTCGAACTCAAGGACTGACTGTGAGATCATGACCTGAGCCGAAGTCGGACGCTTAACCGACTGAGCCACCCAGGCAGCCCAACATGTACGTATTTTAAAGGTCCCTGGGCAGAGGTCTCAGAATGAAGGGAAAGATGCAGTAAAGAGGGAAAGGTTGAAGACAGAGCAAAGAAACAGGGTGGACATAATGCAAGATAAGGCCTGGTACTCAGAGCCCTGCTTGAAAAACTTATTAGTCTTAAAGAAAGAAAGATGAGAAGACAGAGAAAGGAGATGTGGGTGAAGAGAACTTTGTTGGAGAGGGGGCCAGAAAGCCAACGAGTTCCTCACAATAGATCAGGTTTCCATTTTCTTCTGAAAATTTAACAATATTTAAAAGTTATTATTTGCTAGGCATGTGCTAAGCACTTCTCTCATGAAATCCTCACACCAACCCTGTGACACTGGGTCAGTGTTTGTCAACCCTGGCAGTATTTCAGAATCGTCCTCAGTGCTTTTGAGGGGCACCTGGGTGGCTCAGTAGGTTGAGCGTCCGACTTCGGCTCGGGTCATGATCTCACGGCTTTTGAGTTCCAGCCCTGATCAGGCTCTATGCCGACGACAGCACAGAGCCTGAAGCCTGCTTCAGATTCTGTGTCTCCCTCTCTCTATGCCCCTCCCTCACTCATGCTCTCTCTCTCTCACTCTCTCTCAAAAATAAATAAACATTAAAAAATTTTTTTAAAAGATAAACAAAAAATCCACCAAGGTCCAGGACATTGGTAGTTTGAGAAGCTATCTAGGCGAATCTGATGTACAGCAGGATTGAGAAACAATGGATGAAGTTATCTACTGACGGACTGGAGCAGGGTGGTGGATGGCTTGAAGTGAGTGGCAGAGGACTGCTGAGTAGTACTGAGAGCCTAGCTAAGGTTAGAGACCAGGAATTAGTGGTCCCAATTCCCAAGGCTGTGTGACTCTCCAGCAGGGCCCAGCAGTTCTAGGTTTAAATGTAAAGGAAGTAGGGGCGCCTGGGTGGCTTAGTCAGTTAAGCTTCTGGCTTCGGCTCAGGTCATGATTTCACAGTTCGTGAGTTCAAGCCCCTCATTGGGCATGCTGCTGTCAGCACAGAGCCTGCTTTGGATCCTCTGTCCGCACCCCCTCCATCCCTCTCCTTGTCTCTCTCTCTCTCAAAAATAAACAAACATTAAAAAAATTTTAATGTAAAGGAAGTAGACTACTGGATGATCTGGAGTTGGTAGTCTGGCAGGTGGATGCAACAGCTGACCAAAAGGAAGAGTCGGGGCTCCGACATCCAGTGGTCAAGCTCTCTGATCTAATTTCCAGCCTACAGAACATACAGGGCTTGGAAAACAGACACAAAGCCGGGAGACGGTGGGAAGAACAGGCAGGCTCGAGGGCTAGAGGCCCATGTGCACAGAAGAACAGAACAAGACTGGGGGAGGCAGGAAGCAAAGGGCAAGGAGGGAAGCTGTGGTTGGCAGGTGGATTTCAGAATCCGGACAGCTCTAGAGACACAAGGCAGGGTGTGGGCTCAGGAGTGGGGTTGAAAGCAGGATGGCAGGATGTGGAAGGAGCCTAGCCCCTAAAAGGCTGGAGGGTTCCAGGGTTCCCTTCCTACTGGGACCTTTCCAAACACCAGAAATAACTCAGATGTCCTCTAGTAGGTGAACAGTTAAACATACTACGGCACACCCATTCCATGGCACACTACTTAGCAATACAAAGGAATAGACTATTGATAGGTGAAATCTCTGGAGAAATATGCCAGTGAAAAAGCCAAAAGGTTACATATTGTGTCATTCCATTCGTGTAACATTCTTGAAATTATAAAATTACAGAAATAGAGAACACATCAGTTGCTGCCAGGGGTTAAGGACAGAGGGAAGGTGGGGGAGGAAAGTGGGTGTGGCTATAAAACGGCAACAAGAGGGATTCTGGGGGTGATGGAAATGTTCTGTATGTTTACTGGATCAACGTCAACCTCCTGGTTGTGCTGTTGTACTAGAGTTTGATGTAACATGTTATCAGTGGGGGAAACGGGAAACAGCACATGTACCATTTCTTACAAGTGGAATGTGAGTCTCAAATTATCTCAAAAGATGGGGTGCCTGGGTTGATCAGTTGGTTTAGGTGTCCAACTCTGGATTTTGGCTCAGGTCATGATCTCACGGTTTGTGGGATTGAGGCACATATCAGCCTCTGTGCTGACAGCTTAGAGCCTGCTTGGGATTCTCTGTCTCCCTCTCTCTGCCCCTCCCCTGCTCATGTGCTTGCTCTCTCTCCCAAAATAAAATAAAAATAAAATAAAATAATCTCAAAAGAAAAAGCTTAGCAAGAGAATTTAGTTCTAATCAAATTTCCTATGTGCCACTTCTTTCCACATACCTCATGCACAGCCACACTGAACTCATTTTTTTTTTCCAGAAAGAGCAAGAATCCTCTTTGAAGCCACGTGCAGCGGAGCAGTCTCTTGTGTTGGGTGCTTGTAAAAGTCAGCATATAAGGTGAAAATTGCATATGGCCAAAATTCCCTACAATATCCCTTATGAAGATGCCATACTGGAGACCAACATGTCAGCCCTCATCAAACCCAACACAGCCTATCTCCCCAGACTGCGGCAACAATGACAACTTCTTCAGCTGAACACCAGATGAAGTACTTGGTTTATATTTAGGGACCACGTTTTATGAGAACTTCTCTTTGGATACCAGAATCCCACTTCACATAACTGGATGCTCATACGAGAACAGAGGTCTACTATGGAGAAGCTGATTAATGTCTCCTACCTCACTTTCTCTGGGGCATAGGGTCATTGAGTAGAAAAGTGGGTAGAAAAGCCCACACTATTTCTATGCTCCCTCTCTCTTTTTTTTGGCTGCGTGTGCATGGCTGGGTTTATACGATGCAATCCACTACTCCACTTATTATACAGCAGTGAAATTTATCTTTATCTAACTGCTCCAAGTATACTGTGATAATAGAAACCATCTCTTACCTGCTGGATTTTTTAAAGATTTTTTTAATGTTTATTTATTTATTTATTTTTTATTTTTTATTAAAAAAATTTTTTTTTAACGTTTCATTTATTTTTGAGACAGGGAGAGACAGAGCATGAACAGGGGAGGGTCAGAGAGAGGAAGACACAGAATCTGAAACATGCTCCAGGCTCTGAGCTGTCAGCACAGAGCCCGACGTGGGGCTCGAACTCACGGACCGCGAGATCGTGACCTGGCTGAAGTCGGACGCTTAACCGACTGCGCCACCCAGGCGCCCCTGTTTATTTATTTTTGAGAGACAGATAGACAGAGTGTAAGCAGGGGAGGGGCAGAGAGAGAGAGACGGAGACAGAGAATCTGAAGCAGGTTTCAGGCTCTGAGCTGTCAGCACAGAGCTCAACGCAGGGCTCAAACTCATGAACCATGAGATTGTGACCTGAGCTGAAATTGAAAGCTCAACTGAATGAGCCACCCTGGTGCCAGTTTTTGTTTTTGTTTTTAAATACAGAAACCATCTCAGTACACTGCTTGGCACAGGGCAGATGTCACTAAATCCTTATTGAATGAATGAATCCAAGTATCGGATCCCATACTCTGAAACAATGAAACTGCCTTGTTACGTAGCACTAAGTAGTAAGGTTCTGTTTTCCCAGGGCAGATAACACTCTTCTGTACTAGGTCAAGTACTTCAAATAGTTATTTGTGATTGCCTCCCATCCCAATGTTCATGGTCAGGTCCCTGGATTGTAGCTTACCAATTAGGGGAGCAACATAAAATATTAAATATTATTTCCTTCTGACAAACAGTTCATTCATTTACTGGGAAGATCTAACTTAATACATGTTAAGAAACAATACAAAGTATGAAGAAATTCTGGATGTTTGAGGGAACAGTTGAGAAAATAAATAAAATGGAATTACTTTGTGAGACTGGTCCCTATTTTCCAATTTTATGTTATCTTGATTTCCTATCAGTAGTAGGCTAGCCTCTTTTTTTAAGTTTATTTTGGCGGGGGGGAAGGGGAAGAGAGAGAAAAAGAAAGAGAATCCCAAGCAGGCTCCACACCATTTCAGTGCAGAGTCCAATGAGGGGCTCAATCACGACTGGCCATCATGACCGTGAGATCGTGACCGGAGCTGAAATGAAGAGTGAGATGCTTGACTGACTGAGCCACCCAGGTGCCCCAGTAGTAAGTAGGCTAGCCTCTTAGAATGTGTTAAGCATACTGTCTTTTCCTTTTCTGGGTACCAAAATAACACATGTATATGTATGTTATTTATATTTAACATGAAAGAAAAGGAACTAGTAACTCACCTTTACTGCATTGCCACCACCTTTGGGACCCTGAGCCTTCTTGTCAGAACTGTCACTCCCAGAGGCTGCTCCCCCTTTAGAGAAGAGATCATAGGTACTCATTTAAAATGCATCTTGACATTTACAGAAAGGTCCAATACAAGAGGAGTGGATACTTCTGTCATAGCACCATGCTTCAAAGGGGCACTCTGCCACTTTACTACATGAAGCTACAATTAATCTGTGACTCACCTCTCTTAAAACAAGAAATTCATGCCCACATAAGCCCTTCGTAGAAAACAGATATACAAGTGAGTGTGCTAATGGATGAATGAGAGTGCCAAAAGTCTGGTCCAGATTCTCTGGACCCAATTTGAAATCCTGCTTCTAAGGGCAAATCCCCGAGCTCCTGTAAGATTTTTTTTTTAACATTTATTTATTATTGAGAGACAGAGAGATACAGAGCATGAGCATGGGAGGCGCAGAGAGAGGGGGAGACACAGACTCTGAATCAGGCTCCAGGCTCTGAGCTGTTAGCACAGAACCCGACACAGGGCTCAAACTCACAAACCGTAAGATCCTCACCTGAGCCAAAGTCGGACGTTAACAGACTGAGCGACCCAGTCGCCCCACTCCTGTAAGATTTCTAATAAGCACTGCAACTATGTATTTGAGTACTCACAATTCCAATAAGTAAAATCTCTAAGAATCTATTTTAAATAAAGATCAAATTTCCCACCACCCATATTTGGCTAAAGAATGTATTCATTGTCCAAATTCCTGGAGTCTCCTGCATTGCCTATTGATACCTTACTAAGAAAAGTTGTCGGTATTCAGATTAACCACCACAGGGAGCATCTTACATTTTACTATTATGTCATCTCACCACTACACCAACTTTGGTGTTTGTGGCAGCATACTTACTGTTAGAGGTTGATGTTCCTAAGAACTACTGCTGGATTAAATGTTCAGTTCAATAAACATTTCCTAAATAGCTATTAGACACTGGGCATACAAAGATGAACAAGCCATGGCATCTTCCTTCAGGAAATTCATATTCTGCTGGGGAAGACAGGTACGTAAACAGATCATTTCAGGAGAATGACCTGTGATCTATGGACAGAGGCTGTGGAAGCACAGAGAGCCATTTTAGCCAGTCAGGAAAGGTTTCCTGGATGAACGGAAGCTAAGTGAAGAAAGGACAAGGATGAGGAGACACCCCAGGGTGGTCAAACATCGTGGTGTGTATGAAACTATGAATCCAAGTCTGAGGTGTGAGTGCTGTGAGATAAGTAAGCCCTGGGGAAATGGCTGAAGGTTAGGGCATGAGGGCCTATGAGCCCCACTAAGGAACCTACAATAGGGAACCACTGAAAAGTTTTAATCAGGAGATTCCATCTTACTTGTCTTAGTATCTCCAATGCCTAGCACAGTACCTGGCACACAACAGTTGTTCAATAAATGTCCAACTAAACTGAAAACCCAAAATGCTGATCACCAAATGCCTAGGAAAATGTTACTGCCAAAGGAGTTTTATTACACCAAACTCTTAAGTGGGTTTGCTGTACATTTACTCTTGAACAATGATGCATTCCTGTTATCCCAGCCTCTCCCCTGCTGGATGCTGCCATCTTCTGACTGCCACCACTTCACTCCCTTTGATTGACTGAGGACTCTGGCAGCAGTTTCAGGCTGCCTTTCCATCCTCACTCTTGCCATCATCTTGGATGACCTCACCACCTAGGCTGAGGAATCACCCAACAAACCTAACTTCACACTTCTGGACCTCCCTCCTCCTCAATGTCCATGCCTTGTACTCCAGGCCACCTGCTCCCAAGGGCACAACACGATGGAACTGTGCCACCGAGAACTAACAGTTCAGTCTCTGGCTACAACTTCATGTTCTTCCAGCCTTCTCATGCCTCACTCCCACAACACAGGCTCTTTGACTTCACAGAAATCACTCCCAACTTCGGTACCTTTATCCTGATGTGTTTCCCTGGGCTACCCATTTCTCCTTCCCCTGCCAGTCTGGACCCCATGCTCCATCATCTGTGTTCCCACTGTCACCCTTAATTCACTTGTTCTGCTATTCTATTCTCATTGTCCAACAAACCCTCAACCTTGGCTCAAGGCTACACCTAGCTCTTTTCAATCTTATATTGTGTCAGTTGCAAGTTACCAGGTAAATCATGACTGTGCAGATTGTGTCCTCTACAAATTCATGGCCTTCAACCTTAGGCTCTCAGCCTTGAGGGCTGATCCTTTTATTAGTGTTTCCTTCCCTTTCCCATCACCCCCAATGACGACTCCAAACCTTTACCATTCTTAAGAACCTCACTCAGTCCTTGCCCCTCGGTCTTAAAAATTACCCTTGCCTTCCACTTTAACAAATTGAGGCCATGAATCATGATATCCTATAAACAACTCCCTATTGTGGCCCCAATTTTTACAACCACACCCATCCTCGTCTCTTTCCCTATGGCCTCGAGCATAAAGTGTCCTTTCTCCTATTCAAAGGTCAACTTCTCCACCTCTGTCCTAGACCCCATTTTCTCCAACTTCACTCCTTCCGGCCCCTTACCTCTCTAACTCTACCGGATCCTTTACGTCAGCCTCACTCTCAAGTTTTCCCCATTTTGAAGAAACCATCAAAACTTCCTCTTAGTCCTTTGTCTTCCTCTATCTACCATCTAATTCCCCTACGTTTTCAATAAAGGCTTTCCAGAGAAGTCCGCACTGTCTCCAACTTCTCACTTCCGGGTCAATCCTTTAGTCACTGGCCACCCACTGCCCCGTCCCGGGCCCTGGGGGTCGCCGGTCGGCTTCCTCCCCTCGCTCCTCATCCGATCCCATTGTCTCTGGCTGCTTTGGCCGCTCTACCTTTCCCCCCTTTCCCGGAACGGCTTTTTCCCTTGGGCGGCATCTTCGAATCTTGGGGCTGTACTGTCAAAGGCTTCGGTTGCCTGACAAAGCCCCTTCAGGCCCCACGGGCATGTCCGAAACAAATGCCTGAAAACGGCATCGAACTTGACAGTTTTTGCTGTGGCCCTGGAAGCAGGCATAATTTGGGGCAGACCCGGTCCTTGGGCCCGCGGACCAATGGAGCTGAAGATGTCTGACCAATAAGAAGTTCGGTTCTGTTAGAGGGGCGGAGCCAATGGTGAAGCAGGGGCGGGAAACCCCGCCTTTGCGTTTTTTTTGTTGTTGCTGTTCCTTCTATCGCACGCCATTATTTGCGCTAGCTCCCATGCTCCTTCACTCCCCTGCCCATCTCCTCCACGCATGCGTAGTGGAAGGTGCGGGCCTCTGCAGTCCCTTGTCGCCGGCTCTAGCCAATCCCGCGGGGCCGCCAGACAAAGGGAAAGGAGGAAGAGCCGCGGTGGTTGCCCCCTCCTCCTGCTCTCTCCTACGCATAGGCCTTGCTCTCTCTTGAGGTTTTTCATTTTTAAATTTTATTCTGCAATTGTAGTTGATTGGATTTAGAAGATAGTTAAAAAAAAAAAAGCTATCACCCCTCTGCCTCTTGCAGAACTCTGTCATGGAGAAAAATTGGAAGCGGTCTAAATGTTCCTCAGTGGGGTATTGCTTAAATAAATAATGTTTTCAATCACACAAAAGGATATGCGCCATTTAAAATAATGAGTGTAAAGCTGTCTGAAAAGCTGACACAGGAAATGGACTTAAGGAAGGTTACAGACCAAGCTATAGAATATGATTCATTTTTTAGAAAAAGTATATAGTGTGCTCTATTATATATGCATAAAAGACAGGAAGGCTACCACCTAGCAAAATGTGACCAGTGGTGCTAGTACAGGTTGTTGTATATGTTTCTGTGTATTTTCCAAATTTTCTGTAATGGTGCAGTATAAAATACTTAAAAGCATGGATTCTGGAGCCAGACTGTCTGGCTGCCAGACTGCTCCACCATCTGGCTACGAGCTCTGTGACCTTGAGGAAATTACCTCATCCTTCTTTGGCTCAGTTTCACTATCTGTAAAATGGAGTTGATGATAATAGTACCTGCTCACAGGGTGTTAAGAGAATTAAAACAAGTTTATATTTGTAAAGCACAGAAACCAACGACTAACTCATAGAATGTTAGAGTAAGATGAATGAGTTTTGAATTTGTGTCCCCACACTTTCTTCCCTTATCCGTAACCCCTCTTCTCCTGATTTGTATATAAGGTTAAACCTTTTTCTTAGGCTCCATAAGATAGCTGTCCCAGCTTGCCACTACCAGCCAGAACTCCAGTTCAGAGTTTAGTGTTTGGATACAGCCTTGCTGGACTTCGGTGCTTCATGCCCAGACCAAAGGATCAAACACTTTTGATACTGTGCCCACCCTCAACTCATACATAACAAGCAGCCCCCTCTTGTTGTACTGCTGTGACTTCTGGACATACCACATCTTGGGCACTCTTTGTTTCGGATTGGGAGTGATAAACTGTAGGAAACACATCCAATGCTGAGGGGATCGTTGGTTCTCTGCTTGTGAGGTGGATCCTGCCCATGTACTGACTTTCCAAGTCTGGCTGGGGGGATGGAATTTGACAATGTCAGTATGGCCTCATGTTCATCAGCTCATCCACAGCCAGGAGCCCAGGAGTCACTTTACTTCTGGTTTTTCATAGGGAACAGCCCTTCCTGTGACCACCGACCGTGGAATGAAGAGTGGGAATGAAGCAGAGTTCAGATCCCAGTGAAGAGCCAGTATTAAATGGCAGATGCACCTGACAAATGCTTAGTGCCTGAAATATTGTGAGAGCTCTGTGTGTTCCAGCAGATAACAGCAACAACTATAATAAACAAGTTTGTGTAAGTGGCTGAACTTACCTGAAGCAGTATCTAGGGGCCAATAGCTCAAAGGAGAAGACATTGGTCTGCTGGGGGGTTTCAAGGTCAAAAGCACTGTAAGGCAGTCAGATTCAGAATCATATACAATCTCAACTATGCAGTATGCATCACAAAAAGGCAGGGAAGGAAATATAAAATCTTAAGTGTTCAGAGTGCCTGGCTGGCTCAGTCGGTGGAACGTGTGACTCTTGATCTCGGGGTTGTGGGTTCAAGGCCTAAGTTGGGTGAAGAGATCACTTAAAAAAAATCAAGTCTTAAAAAAAAATCTGAAGTGTTCATTCTGGAATGTGAGTTTGTGACTACCTTTTATTTATTTCTGTTTATATTATACTGTGTTTATATCAATTGGCATGCATTTTTCTTTTATTCAAGAAAAAAGAGCAATAAACATTATTTGTAAAACAAACACCATAAAAGCCAGCTTCTCTACAGGGTTAAGTCGGCACCAGTCTATGGAAACCGACTGTGGAGGAGTCTGTGGAGCAGAGTGACAAATGAACGTAAGAGCAGGCAGGGGGGCAGAGAGGAGAAAACTTCAGCCTTGAAACCATGGTAACGACTGCGGGAGTGTGCACACTGAGTCAGAGCCAGGAATGGATGCCAGTTGTATTTTCTATTAATTACCTCCTCAGACTGATTCTTTCATGTATTTCTTAAACAAGGAATACTTAGGAAGGGAAGCTGGCAGTCTTTTTCCCAGAAGTCCACAAACCTTGACCGAGACTCACTGTCCTGCCCTACCTGCTGTACAAACAAAAGGCTGCAATTTCTTTCCCATTTGAGACCCTAGCAGAGCTTATTCCGAAAGGGGAGCTTGAAGCAACAGAGCATAGAGATCTAATTGATCCCATTCAGAGGTGGTCAATCCATGGGGAGCTCTGGGCCCCAGCCTCTGCAGATAAGGGTAGGAAAAGGTCACCTTTGGAAATGGAAAAGAAAAATCAGTACACGGTGGATGAGATCAGCCACCTGCAAAAGTCGCCACCCATTATGGCAAATGGATGCAGGTATATTGCCAATGGGATGGATGGGTCTCCTGAGCACAGTGGCCAAAGAACTTTCTAATCCTCTTCATGCCCTTGTAACATGTCTGGCATGAGAGAATGAAGCTTTGAACAACTGTAATTCTTTTTAAAGTGCTTCAGAGAAGAAGATTCCATCTATGTTTGTCTAGCATTGTCTAAGCAAGCAGTTTCTGGAGAACATTAATATTCCAGTATCTAGTGAGGTAGATTTTTTTCAGAGGCGGTGTTCATTTGAGACAGTGGAAAACAACCAACACAAGTAGCATATGTAGCATGAGTCAGATGCTTTCCCTTCAGTATCTCTTTGAGTTTTCACAACAGTTTTTTTAAATGATATTTATTTATTTATTTATTTATTTGTACTAAATTTTTTTTGAGAGAGAGTGCACACATGGACACACACATGCATGTGTGAGGAGGGGAGGGGCAGAAGGAGAGGGACAGAGAGAGAGTCTCAAGCAGGCTCTATGCCCAACATGGAGCCCAATGTGGGGCTCTACCCCACAAACTGTGAGATCACAACCTGAACTGAAATCAAGAGTCAGATGCTTAACAGACTGAGCCACCCAGACACCCATAAGATTTTATTTTATTTATTTTTATTTTTTATTTTTTTAAGTTTATTTATCTTGGGAGGGAGGGGCAGGGAGATCAGGAGAGAGAGAATACCAAGCAGACTCCACAATGACACTGTGGAGCCCAATGGGGGGCTCAAGCTCATGAACTGTGACATCATGACCTGGCTGGAAATCAAGAGTTGGACGCTTAACTGACTGAACCACCCAGGCATCACCCTAAGATTTTACACCCAATGTGGGGCTCGAACTCACAACCCCAAGACCAAGGGCCACATTGCTCTACTGACTGAGCCAGCCAGGCACCCCTATTTTCACAACAGTCTTTGTTTTGCAGAATATCACCATTGCCATTTTAGACCTGAAGAAACAGGCTCAGAGGAATTAAGAAGCATGTTCAAGTTTGCACATCTAGGCACTGTGGCAGGGTTGGCCTTTGAAGTCAAATCTGACTTCCAAGCTGGTACGTTCTGCATGATGACACTGCCCTACACTTTGCCATCCCCTATGTGAAATCCAAGAACACCCAGTTCCCTTTGTTTTGAGTGTATATTCAAGTCAGCTTCCCAGGCATCTGAGCCCTTACAAGGGGGCACTCTGCCCAAGAGGTGCCAGGGCCAAGTTATGCCCCCACCTTACGGAAATCAATTCGCCTCTGGTTTATGCATTAATGTGTTCATTCTGAGTAATCTGGAAGGTGATCACCTCTGCCTACTGGACCTCCCAAGCCCAGAAGCACAGAGGCAAGAAGGAACATGGTGTAGGGGGAGGGCAGTGGACAGAGTATTGTGGACAAGGCAGAGGGGGGACAGTGGGGAAGAGGTCTTCTTTGTCCTCATCCTCAGGAAGTGGTCTCCATTTCTAATGAATTCTGCCTTCTAAACAGCTCATCTCCTCTGCTCCTCATCATTGTACAGTGAACAATGAGCACTTTGCTGAGATTCACCAAGCATCTCTTGCCCTTGTCCCGTGCCCTCTTTGCCCCTGCCACAGGATTTTGAACATTCTCTGGACCATTGGAAAAGCCTCCACATGTGGTCTCTTAGCTGTCAGTCTCACCCTTCTCCAAGCTACCCTCCCCAGCGTCTCACAGAGAGCCCTCAGAAACCCAGATATGACACTCATTCCTTCAGTGGCTCCCTGCAGTCTGAGAGGGTCCTTAGCCTGGAGACCCAAGGGCCTTTCTGCTGACATCTGCAACCTCATCTCTTGCTAGTCCTCACAGGGCTTTAATCACATCGAGTTACCATTTGCATGCTCTCAAATGTATGGTGCTCTCTTAAGACTCCATGCCTTTGAACATGCTGTTCTGTCTACCTGGAGTGCTCTTCTCTCATTTTTTATCTAGTTAACTTATATTTACCTTTCAAGACCAAGCTCCAGTGCTACTTCC